TAACAAATAATAATGTCTATACAACTAAAAATTTGCTTATGGAATTCGAACGACTTGAGCATCATGTCCAAGAACTTAAATATTTTCTATCCAACAATAACATAGACGTTATGTTAATTTCCGAAACTCATTTCACCGATTTACACCATAGCATACGTCTTCAAAACTACCGACTATACTACACTAACCATCCGGATGGCAGACCACATGGCAGTACGGCAGTTATCATCAGGGCTAACATCAAACATTACGAGATAGAATCATTTAACACCGACTTCCTACAAGCGACAAACGTCTCAGTAGACCTTATGACTCACCAACTCATTGTGTCGGCAATCTAATGTCCGCCGAAACATAAAATTACAGAAAATCAGTTTTTAAAATTTTTCGAAAGCATTGGAAATATGTTCATTGCTGGCGGAGATTTTAATGCCAAACACACATTCTGGGGGTCGAGTTTGATCACCCCGAGAGGCCGACAATTATATAATGCGATTAGTAATAATGACCTCAGAGCATTTTCAACGGGTGAGCCCACTTACTGGCCAAGTGATTTAAACAAAATTCCAGATCTTATTGATTTTTTTATCACAAGAAACATTAAAAAAAAACTGTACGGAATTAAAATCAAGCTTGGACCTAAACTCTAACCACTCGCCTATAATTCTTCAATACTGGACTCAAACACCGACCAAAATTTCAAGTTCAATCACAAATAAAATCACAGATTGGAATCTTTTCCAAAAAGAGGTAGAAGACAATATATCTTGTAATATTCGTCTGAAAAGCGAAACTGATTTGAATAATGAACTAAAAAACTTCACAAATATAATTATTGAAGCAGCCAAGACATCAACTCCTCAAATTCAATCATTCAAACGACCACTCCCTGCCAATTGACATTAAAAAAACTATAGCATATAAAAGAAAACTACAAAAAATTTGGCAAATTACCAGGTCACCCGAAGACAAATAAAAATTTAACAGAGCGTGCAGGGATCTCAAAACATTAATAATAAATTATAAGAATAATTCTTTTAAAAAATATCTGCATAATCTTTCAGGAAGCAGTGACACAAATTATTCTCTCTGGAGAGCGACCAAAAAACTAGAACGACCCACTATACCTATTCCACCATTAAGAAAATCAGATGGTTCTTGGCAAGAAGTCCTAAAGAAAAAACTGATGAATTTGCCGAACATTTACGCCTCAATTTTCAGCCCTACCCGAGTACATGCGATCCAAATGATACTACGTTTATCTACGAGTTTCTACAGAACTCGCCGTCGACTTTAACCCAGCCTGTTAAACGTTTCACAGTAAATAAAGTAAAGCAACAAATTCTGAAAGCAAATGCAAGAAAATCTCCAGGGCCAGATGAAATATATATCATATTGTTGAAAAAATTACCCGATAAAGCTATCAGAATGATTACAATAATTTTCAACTTAATACTGAGGCTGAAAACTTTTCCCCAGACATAGAAAATAACAAAAATCATTTTGATTACTAAACCAGGAAAGGACCCTCATCTCGAAGATCTCCAGGGAAGATCATCAAGAAAATCTCCAGGGCCAGATGAAATATCTATCATAATGTTGAAAAAATTACCCGATAAGGCTATCAGAATGATTACAATAATTTTCAACTTAATACTGAGGCTGAAAACTTCTCCCCAGACATAGAAAATAACAAAAATCATTTTGATTACTAAACCAGGAAAGGACCCTCATCTCGATCCGAATGAGGATCAAATGAGGCAAATCAAAGATTTCCTGCAGGATCAGGATCTAATTCCAAACCACCAATTCGGGTTCCGCGACCAACATTCTACTATAGAGCAAGTTCATAGGATTGTAAACATAATCAACAACGCATTCCATAAGAAAGAGTATTGTTCTGCAGCCTTCTTAGATCTCACGAAGGCATTTGACAAAGTCTGGCTCACAGGCCTAATGTACAAAGTAAAAAGATGTCTTTCAGATACTTTATTTCAAATGATAAAATCCTATCTACAAAATAGAAATTTTTTCGCCAGTATAGCTAATACAGACTCAAATATCAGTAATATAAATTCCGGGGTGAATCAAGGGAGCGTCCTTGCTCCTACATTATTTTTAATTCATACAGCAGATTTTCCAATCTCTACGGATACAAGTGTAGTCACATTTGCTGATGATACGTGTATTATCGCCGTAAACAAAGATCCATTTGCAGCATCGTGCAGTCTTCAGCACGATGGTTTTCACTGTGGCGAATAGAGGTCAACATCTCAAAATCGGTCTATGTAACATTCACACTATGCAATCAAACATGTCCTTCAGTTGAACTTAACAATACAATGAATCCTCCCAAAAAGTCGGTGAAATACCTTGGCATCCACCTGGATAGGAAATTAAATTGGAAACAACATATAATTAATAAAAACGGCACTTAGATCAAACTTTTAAAAAATTCTACTGGCTACTAAACAAAAATTCTGAACTCTCAGTTTACAATAAACTGTTAATATACAAGGTGGTACTCAAGCCCATATGGACCTACGGTCTCCAACTTTGGGGTACAGCAAAAAAAGCAATCTGAACATCATCCAACGTGCTCAAAACAAAATCCTGAGGAAAATATTAAACGCTCCTCGCTACACCCCTTCATGGATTATCCATCAAGACACAGGCTTGCTCACAATAGAGGAACAAATTTTATTGGTTGCTTCTAAATATAAAAATAGGTTTGACGTACATCTCAATGAATTGGCCAGCAGAGTTTACCTGGATAGTCAGCCCACCAGATTGAATAGAAAGTTGCCACAATACCTTATCTAGTCCAGTTAAGCCTAATTACTATTCTTTTTTATGTTTTATTTGATTGTTCGTTTTTTCTTACCGTTTTGTTTTTTTGTATTTCTTTTCTTTTTATTTTATTATTATTATTATTTCTTATTATTATTAACATGTGTTATATATACCTAGTAGACACGCCGCTGGGTGTTGCAACTATCTTCTTGTTTATATTGTATAATAATTATTGTTAGCAATCTCTGCTTAATGTTAATGAATATGTAAAACAGATTGCAGAATAAATTAAATAAAAAAAAATATTCATCGATTTTTGTATGCGAGCGCTTTCCTTTTGTTTTACATTTTAATGTTACCCATCCTGTCTCCGTCTAGATACTTCAGATTTGTTTCGAATAATTGTGTAGACAATACAGTTTAGTATATTAATGTAATATGATCTTTTATGAGTTTTTGGTCTTTCTTACTCATAAGTTTGTTTTTGGTGAAAAGTACTCAATATACTCGATAATGATAATGAATTAATTAAATTGGATATAATTTTGTTAAATTATTATTTAAAAAAATAAACTAATGATAAATAAATATAGTTGTAGTTGTACATACATTTTTTTATATTTACACTAGTAACTTTCAATTGTGTTTACGTTTGTTCAAGATAATAAAAATACCGGTAATTCACCGGTATTCCGGTTTTAAAATGAAAAATTACCGAAATACTGGTATTGAAATTTTTCGTCGGTATTGCATTCCCTAGTGGCTAATACGTAAAATGTCAAACGTTTTTGACAGATGATGTTCAATTACATTTAATAGGATGTTTTACGTGAATATTATGTATTTATGATTAAATTGTAGTAAGTAGTTTTGTTTGTTTGTTTTATATACAAAAACGTTAGTAAATGGGCCGCAAGTGTTACTAGAAACTAAATATCAACTTTTTTCAAATGTTAATATGAAAATGCACTTTTTGGCATATTTTTCACAAACACTTATATCATTATATTATTTGTTACTTATATTGTTATATTATTTTTTATTTATGTTATTTTAATTCAAAATCTAAATTTGGTAGCGATAAAAGGGACATTTTGTCGAATAACATTTTCCCAGTTATAATTTCCTAGAATTTATCGAAGAATAGATAGTAATATATGAAAGACCGAGGTTTAAAAGGTCCACCACCGATGTCTCAAAAATTAGTAAAGTTAAGCATTGTTTAACAACAATATTTGAAAGTAGAGGAAACAAGATATATAACAAGCTATAACCTTGATTTCAAAACTTTGCTATCGGGAGATAAACGGTGATCTTTGAAAATCCATAATAAAATTATGCTCTTCCGTTGGTAGTTTTTTAGCATTATACCCCACCTATAGAGTAAAAAGGTCTAGATAACAAATTATTGAAAGACATTTTGAAGGCAGTTCACTAAACGTATTCAGATAATTTTTCGTTTGAAATTCGTAATTTCTAAGTTTATATTTGCTCAAAGTCAAATTGGACCTTTGGAAAACTTGAAACGTAATCAATAAGTCGAAAGACCAAAAAAGACTTGAATTGGATTATACCATGTTTTCTATAGAAAGTGTATAAATCTTCCAGTTTGATTGTATTGACAAAATACAGACAAACTAATGGGGTTTAATGTTTTTATAATACTTCATTGTATATAGCATTCAAACAACACATCCTTATACGCTTAAAGTATTAATATTTTTTACTAAAACAACGTTTGCCGGGTCAGCTAGTATATATATATATATATGTAAATATACTGAATATAATGTATATTATGTAAATTAATACTATTGTTACTATTATTACTATTTATACTATTCTAACCAATTATTTCTAATATATATATATATTAGAGAATTTATTATGAACAAAAAGATAATACGCATTCATAATTTTTATAATATTGCTCTGTAACTAAAAATAAAATCTTGTGCTAAGATTTATGACCAACAAAACGCAAAAGAACATGTTTCGACCTAGTTGCTCTTATAGCTTGAGTCTACTTTTAGAATCATCTATACGTATTTCAGTCGCTTGAAAATGTTAGCATCGCATACAAGTTGTACTTCGAACTATATATATGTATATATATATATATATATATATATATATATATATATATAATTTTAATAGTTAAGTTAAAATGTCATTGCAAAAGCATGTTAATGCTATGAAATACTTACATTTTTATTCCAGATCCTGCGTCCTAAATCTGTCAAAAAATCTCGTTTTGATGCATCTTTAAGGTCAGTTGGTTTAAAACCACGATTGCATATAATTTCACTATTGCTTTTGCTGAGGCCATAGGGCACTGTTTGCGATGGAACACTACATAAATATTCTTGAAATGAGCTATTTCTTGAACTATTGTATACACTATTAGTCGATTTGCTGTATGACAAAGGATGATTGCGATGATTTTGTAACAACGACATAATTTACATTTGATTTAAGTTTAAACCAGAAACGCAAAATACCAGGATTACTAATCAGTGTTATATGTTCGGACGTGAGACTACTACTAGCCGGTTTGTTTTTGATTTCCTAGAAAATGGCTTATTGCCATCTTATCAGGGTTGTGTTGATTTCGAATTATGCTAATAATAGCTTAGCGCGCTATTATATATTATGGTATGGATTATATAGTATTTATGTATGAGTATATAATTACTTAGTTTAAATTAATACAACTAAACTACAGAAAATGTGTTTGTTTTTCAACACTCTATGAAAATTTTGTATTTTGTACACTTCAACAAATAGATGTAAGTATGTATGTATATCAAGGAGAAAAAGTTGCCACCAATACAATTTAGATTTTTGGGAAAATTCTATTTTTTCAAACAAATCAAATGTAGTTGGTATTGGTATTTTGCCTTGAGGCAAGTTACATGAACTTTCCGATATGTGTAAATAGTCGACTTAATCAATAAAAATAAATTAATTTATGAGTGATTAAAAGTATTCCGAGTGGATTTATTACACATAATTGGAAACGAACGACACTTAACGTGTATTTTCGGAGTATTTTCAAGAAGCAAATTTTCAAAAATCTACAATTTTTATAATTGAACCAGTTTCCGTAAGACTTTAATGGTTTAGTATGTTCAATAAGATCAATTACTCTATCGTTATACCAAGTAAATCGTCCTATTTTATATTTAACACACGTCAAAAAACTACTCATTTTCTCAAACTTTGATGAATTTTTAAAATTAAACTACATGTTGTAAGACCGTAATATTTCAGTAAGTTCTATAAGGCCATGATATATATCGCCAAAAAATGTTCCATCAAAATCGACTTAAATTTTTTTTCAACGGTTAGTTACAAGAAAACGGTTCGATAAATTTTCACCTAAAACTAAACAGTATCATTTCCAGTTTTTGATTTTTCAAAATTGATTCGGTAGTATGAGCTTAAATGTTGGACGAATGTTTAACACTTTTTTTCAAATAACAAAGAAACGGCTTGGTAGATCGTCGCACAAATCTGACAAACAATAGTCCTCATCGAGGTACATAAAATGGCATTCAAATTTCTTAAATCGGTTCAGGCGTTTTTGAAAAAACGTCGATGAAAGGTCTAATTTTGACAAATGGCAAAAAATCGAAACCAATTTTTGCAAATTTTGATGAATTGTTTAAGTTAAACGAGTTGTCGTAGAGCCGTAATATTTTAGTATGACCTAGAAGATTATGGTATGTATCGTCAAAAAAATAATAATGAAAATCGTCGAAAAAAAATTTTTTAACACTTGATTACAAGAAAACGGCCCGGCCGATCTTCACCAAAAACTAATCAGCACGATTCCAAACCAATATCTTTCGAACGGTTTTTGCATTTTCATAATCGATTCAGAATTGCTTAGTAAAACGTGGACAATTTTATTTTTCACTTTTCTGCGATTTACAAAGAAACGGCTCGGCCGATCGTGACAAACTGGTACAAACGATAGTCCTCATTGAGATACATCGAATGGCTTTTAAATTTTTGAAATCGGTTCAGCGGTTTTTGAGAAAACGTCGATTTACGGCAAAAAATCTGTTCACATACACATACACACACAAACTTTTTCCAAATTTGGTCTCATTCGATTCAGAATGGCTTGAAACGTCGAGAAAACATAAAATTAGCAAATCGGATTTTTTTGTGAAAACATAAACTTCTCCTTCGGGAAGTTAATAAACACATTGAAATTTATCACAATATGTACTCATGTTGAAAATGTACATATGTTCAAGCAAATTCATACAGAAGAAATGTCCATTTTATATAGCTATATAACAATCCGCGGTAAAACGTAAAATGGCTGTACGAATTGGGCCAATCTTAGTTGCACAATTTTATATTCATTAGTGTTTATAAAACATTATCTAGATTATATAATTATTTTATTTAGATTATTCAAATTAAAAACCTAAATTTGGAATCTATCAAAGGAGACATTTTGTCGAATAACTTACTCCCAGATATCACAGACCACTACTTAAATAAGAAGATTCGGTTGATAATATAACTTTGGAACACACACCAGTAAAATGTCAATGCACAAAATTACAAGTTCTCTGGAATAAAATCTTTTGAAAATTGGTTATAATGCTCGCATTTAATTCAATGTATGGACAGTTCGGGTACTAGAACAAGTATAGCAGAAAAATGAGTCACTACAATTTTGAAGACCTACAATTTTGAAGGAATTCATTTCAAAAGATATGTCAAAATCCATGCATTTTAGTTACAGTGAGGTATTATTTATGTTTTATTAAATCACTCTACAAATTGAAAAAGATGAAGAACTTCAACAATCACTAATTTTGAAGAATAAATTGAAATTTTGTTTTATGAATTTATAGAAGAATGGATAGTAACATATGAAAATCTGGGGTTAATAAGATCCACCACCAATATATCAAAAACCAGTAAAGTTTAGCATTGTTCAACAACAATATTTGAAAGTAGAGGGGAAAAGATGTATAACCAGCTATAACCTTGATTCTTATGACTTTGCTATCGGGAGTTAACGGTAATTTTTGAAAATCCATAACAAAAGTATTTCCTTTTGTTGTTAGTTTTTTGGGTTGTGAGCACTGTGATTTAATTCACGAAACCTTAATATAAATTTTAACTATACGCTATTTAATTGTTTTATAAAGTGTAATGTTAATTTTGAGTGAAAATCAATAGTTTTCTTTATATAACCACTTTAAAAACTTACATCTGTGTGAGGCAAAAATGACCAACTGAACATTGAACACGGCTAAAGACAAAAAAGACTCAGATTGAATTATAACATATTTTTATAGAAAGTGTATAAAACTTCCAGTTTGATTGTATTAACAAAATATGGACAAATGAATATTGTTATTATGAATTATATAATATATTATTATACAAGTAGACTTTGGAGTTTATTGTATTTATAATATCTTATTGTCTGTACCATTCAAACTACACATCCTTACACTCCTAAAATAAATTATTCTTTTTTTTTATTCTTTAGAAATAGTTCAAATGCTTCGAATAACCCGAGTGGCAATTTATTACGGCAAGCCCTAACACAGGTCCGGCCTCTATAAAGCTGTACTACGGCGTCCGTATTACGGAATTTAGTGCATGGCCCTCATATGGGCCATATATGGGCGGCCCTAATATGGTAATTTAGATAGGGTCCATAAAAGGCATGCCTGATTTCAGCCCTGACACGGATTGCCCTACAGTAAATGAAAAGGGCCATATTCGGATGCCCTATATCACCCCTATAACGTATTGCCCATAATATGATGATATGGGCCATATTGGAAAATCATTACAAAAACCCTAATACGGCTTACCCATTATTGAGACCATTATTATAAATATTACATATTTATTTAAGACAATCTTAGATTTAAAAAAAAAACTAAGCAAAAGTAGAGAAGAGTATTTTCCATTTCGAGCAATTTGAAGTTAATACAAGTTTACAATATTCATTACAAGTTTAAATATTCAATTTATTTTTTTGTTTAATTTTTTTATTTAATCATTGTGATCAATATTAAATATTGAATATTTTAGTAGATCATATTATTTGTTTCATAAAATCGAACAGCTCTATATCAATCGTCATATGTATTTGGCTCTTCTCATTAGCTTTCACTGCCTTGAAGGCGAAGGAGTTATCAGTTTTCGGGAAGCACGATACGATTTAGTATTACGATTAAAACTGTAGAATATTTTCAATCTTAACGAAAATACGTGGTGAGTATTTATTTATAAGAAATTAATCAATTTTGTGTATTAAATAATATAAAAAATTAACTTTATCCCGCAGGAAAACATTCTCTTATATCAATATATTTGATCGACAGAAAAGCTGATTTCAGTAAAAAATGTTTTGGAAATCACTGCTCAAGATGAATTGAAATATGACACTGCTTCTAGCCACATTCAATATAAACAAATACTTAAGGGCACCAAATTTATGAAGTGTTTTACAACAAGCCAATGTCAATCAGCACGGTATGTATATATTATTCACAGAGTACAGTTAATATCATGAGGTAGATGGAATATTAAATTAACTAGTTATTATTTTATTTATTTATGGTTATAGATTTTATTACAGATAAAATAGATACGGAATTTGAAAAAAAAATCCGAGATTAACTCCGAATAACTCTGATTAGAACCTAAGTGCAATCCAGTTCCTGAAAAATAATAAATTATTATTCACGTGATTGGGACAAAGAAAGAAATTTTTGACACAAAAATAAATACGAAATCGACCATAAAGATGACAATGTATTTTCATGTTTTTCTTAATTTTGTGTATATATCTGTACATCTTATTCTATAATAACTATCATATATAATATTACTATTATTGTAAACAATAGAATGAATACAAACATTTAATATATGTGTTTCTTTTATTGGGCAATATCAATTATTATTTTCAGGGTCATGTGATAATTTTGAAATAAGGGCCAAGATCGATATTCTTATAGGGACCATTTACGGCTACCGAGTAGGGGCCAGAACAGTTCGCCTTACTTAGACCGTATTCGGCAAGGCGTTACCAAACGCATATGGGCCTAGTAGGGCTGCCGGATCGTGACCCTATTTAACTTTGGGTCTGCCCTAATATGTGCCCTATTTAAATTTTCACTCGGGAAGATGATGATTCTCAAATCCCACAGTTAACACTTTAATTATCTTTTTAACAAGTATTAAAAAATGCTCAATAAAATTGTATATTAAAAATTATACACTGAAAATTATAGAACAAATATCCAATAGTTCAATCAATTTTAATGCCAAGGATTATACAATTTTTTAGTCATATCTGCATTTCTAAAGGAATGAAGCAATGATTTTTTGATTATTTACGATTAAAACATTGATTTTCCAAATCTGCACACAAAAAATCATCGTCTGCCTTTGTAATTTATGGCAATATTAAAAGTACACGTGTTGAAAATTGAAGTCTTTCAAAAGGTATGATAAAATCAGATAGAATTA